TTGTAGCAGAAGTATTTTTAGACTTGTTCTATTACATAACGCCTTGGGAAGCCTGGGAAACAAGTCAGAAGAATAGATGTGACAAAAAACAAGCTATGTGTCTTTATCTTTTTCCTTTCATCATTTTGTCTGTTTTATTCCCCCACTTGCTTACAACACTAACTGGCATTCATTTCAGTGTCTCAGTTTGAATAATTCATACGACTGTCTTGCGATTGTGTCCAGATGGATCATATTATTCAGATTTTTAAATGGAAATGTTGATTTGCATTTACATTTCCTACATTAAAAAGCTGTACTAAAATTGCAAGTCTTCAGTAACCAAAATGAATTTTCATTGCAAACTACTGCTACAAATAAGATAAATATGGGCTGTCAGAACTATTTTAGAAACTGTTTTGACTCCATTTTTATAAATTTGTGTTTCACTGGGTTTTTGCATTCTTTCTGCACTACATACCATTGCTACAACAACAACAACTTGAATTTATATAGCACCATTTACGCCAGACGGCGTCTCGGACGTCTTGCTCAGCTAAACATGGAGTTAGAAAACCTACTCCCAGTCTTACTTTTAAATACAGAAGGTGATTCACAATACTGGCAAAGATTGACTTGTCTTACTTGCTCAAGGGAAGCATCACCTTCACTGTGTTCCTCTCCCAGATTGGCCATCTGAGGTTAGGGAACTTGGCAATTAACCCTTCTCCCTGGCATAGTGTATCATCATGCTGGTTTTTAACCATTTGTGATTTTTATTTTAAAAAAGCCTCATTATCCAAATAAAGATTGTGGATTGTTGAAACTACCACAATTGATCATGAAAGTGGGACTGTATTAAAGTTGGTTCAGGTACCACAAATAGATGTTGAATGATTCGGCTTCCCATTCCATCTTGAAAGAAGTTCTCACTTAGGTACAAATGCTTCCAATACAGTACTTTGAACATGCGAGAATCCGAATGAACTATCCAGTATGTTGTGGAGAAACTTTTTCACATTTATATGTCTTCAATATTTCTACCTGAATTGATTGTGTCCTCTAATAATTAACTGAATGCATTATTTAATTAGAAGGGAACTTCACAAGCTAACAGGCCCTAAAATAAAAAAGCTCTTTGTATTTAAATGCAAACTTGTGAAGCGGTGCTCCTGTAACAAAGAAAATACCTTTATTCCCAAAGAATTGTGAAATTCTTTTTCTCCTTGCCTCTGCTCCTTTTGGTGAGTGATAATGGACTACAGATGGTTTTAAATGCTCTTCTCTCTGGCTAAAACATTCTCCCGCACTGGTGGTAACAGGCAGATTTAATTTTAAAAGGCCAACTCGCAACTAAGTGCTCCTGGAGAAAGCAAAAACAATTTTGAAATATAGCCAAACAAGAACGCACTAACTCTGCCAGGTAACTCTCTGCTGCAATCCTGTTCTGAATACTATTTGCACATATGGTCTTATACAACTGAGCACAGGACTCCAACTGTGTCTGAGAGATAATGGGATTTTTTAAAAAATCTTGAAGGTGGGTAAATAAGATCAACAGTAGCTCAATATCTTAGCAAACATACACATAGTTCCCTTATTTGACTATGCAGCATTACTCAAGCATGGCACTGCAGTATCAGCCTAGACTTTAAGATGAAAGCTCCAACATGGGACTTGAACCCACAACCTTCTGACTCAGAAGCTTGAGAGCTACTAATTGAGCCAGGCCCACATTTTTATCTATGTAAATTATACACACTTGTAGTTTTCACCGGATAAAGGCAGTGCTTGAAGCAATAATTATGGCTTCCTGCTCCAGGAAAGATTCATTTCCTACTTATGTGTCAAGTTCTCTGGCATCAAACCTTTGTGTTTTACTGCTGGCACTCCTTCCAAATCGAAATCCTTTTGAAAAATATTGTATGCTGATCCAAAGCACATATATTCTGCTGAGTTTTATTTTTACAGCACATTAAGTATTAACCAGCAAATACATGCCAGCAAATTTATGGCAAACATTGCAGATTTATGCAAGAGTGAATACATTTACTCATGTTAAACAGCTGAATGCAAGTAATGAAACATTGTGCTTGATGTCAAATTAAAGTGCAAAACGCAAGCAACGTGGGTGCAGAGTGGAATTATGCTCAGGTCCTGGTGCTCGTCGTGACCTCTGTTCTGTCTGCTTTGCACATTGTCAGCATCATTCTTATTGCATTCCTGGCTCCAAGAGCACATTCAAATTGTATCATTAGAGTATGATGTGAATTGAATGCAAATTCACTGGGCTGCGAATGAGTTAAGGTACTCTGCCACCAACACAAGCAAAAAAAAAATTTCAGAAACATGATAATGTGTTTTGCTTCTCTATACTGTATTCCATTGTGCTTCAGATTTATATTTTGATGGGCATATGCTTCCTTCATTTGTAAGCAGTATCTTAATGTAGAAAAATACTATACATTACATATTGAAATGATGTGCCTTTGTAGTGGCAACACCAAATTACACTCATTTCTAAATCCACAGGCACCTGACATTTATTTTCCACTAGAAATGACTAACATTGAAATGGATTTAAAGCCTTTAATGTCCTCCTTGGTCTTGCTCCTCTCCACTTCTGCCACCTATTGAAACTTTACCAACCTGTCCACTCCCTCCACTCTGCAGGCACTTTTGCTCCATGTTCCATGCCCTGCCTTTTCTACTATTGGCGGTCGGGCCTTCAGCCTTTCTGCCCGCACCCTCTGGAACTCCATCCTGGAGCCCCTCTAACTCACCTCCTCCCTCAGCTCCTTCAAGACCCATCTCAAGATCTTCCTTTTCAACTGCGCCTTCAGTCATCTTCCCTCCTCCACTTCCCTTGCCATCCACCCCTCTCTGATCCCAACCCACAGCTCGGGTGCAAATTCCTTATTGCCTTGGGACATCCTTCTGATGTGAAAGGCTTGTACAAATACAACTTGTTGTTGTTTTTGATGGATGCAAACCAGACCCAGATGTAGTTATAGGCGTTACACAGGATGGTACTCAGATGCATGCAGGTGCATTTAACATTAACTGACACCCAGGATCACTTGAAAGTATTCAACCAAGCAGCAGTTGACCACAACTTGGTTGGCATCCAAATTAACTTCATTGGTTTTCATGAAAGGAATAGTATGTACATGCTAGATCGCATCTAATGCCACATAGTGTCATGTCCCCTACAAGAGTTCTGCAGCCCTGCTTTATGAATTTCAATATTTGCCAAAAGAAGACAAAAATTATTTGAATGTTGAAGATAACATCTATCTTCTTCTTCTTCTGTACTAATAAAACGACAATGTCTGTCTGTGCTTCAAGAAGGATCTCAATAACCGATTAACATAGAGACATGATTTATACCTCATCAGAAAGGTCTTGCATCTTGGAGTGACATGGGCATATTTTTTCAGGTATCTGCTATTGTTTATGAGTTATTTCAGTTTTACGTTTTTCGCTGCAGTTACACCTGGTGGTCGCTAAGTCAAAGTAGTGCTGTGGCATCATGCGTCACAGAGCACCTACGTATGTACGCACGCACTGCAGTTACACCTGGTGGCTGCGCCGGCTGACCATGGCGCTGCGGCATCCTGCGTCACAGAGCACGCATGTAGCAAATCGGCGAGAACAAAATAAAGAACACAGACAAAGCTAAGCCGCAGCAACAACACCGAAATTAAAGCGCTTTTCATGTTGGGAGGATGTCCCAATGATTGCAAATTATACATGTCCTCCAAAGCAGTCCTCCCAGATGAGTATAGATAAAGATGAAATGTCTGTCTGTGTGTCAGTCTACATTCATATTGGATCCTTTTGGTTGCTAGCATAACTGCAACCGGTACATAAAATCTCCATTAAAAATGACCAAAAAAGAACCTTGTTACCAGTTTACTGAAAATACCAGTTAGATATCAACTACAAACTGCATAATTCTGGATTCTGGAGCCAATTCAACTCCGAGAGACCTTATTTAATTTTATTGTGCATATATCAAAGATTTATTTTACAAACATACACGTAAACAACATGAATTGGACAAGTTTACCATATATATCGGAACCCTGAGTGCAGTTTTTAACAACACCTCAGTATGAATAAGATACTATTGTCTAATTTGCAGTATTTCCAAACTTAATGTTCCTTAATAAATAATCTAAATTATGCAAATGGAGACTCCTTCACGTAACCGGAAGTACATTACACCCACTTATGGGAGCTAAGCTCCAATATATTGACATCCGAAACAAATATCCTGCAATGTGTTGGGAATTCTAATGGGATTATTATTCAGTGCTGAGATGGGCTTATTGTTTTGGTGGATAACTTGACTTTGGCATTACAAAATATTGAAGTATTATTCATACTATTTTATATGATGTCTACTAATACCTTTGAATCTTAATCTTTCACCTTGTGGAGTCCTGTAGCACAGTGGTTAGAGCACTCACTTTGCAAGTGAGAAACCTGAGTTCAATTCCAGGCAGAGCGAAACCTTGGGCAAGTTTCCTTACTCCACACAGAGCCTAATAATAATCCCTCCAAAACCAAAAACAATAATAAATTGGTCATTTTCAATCTACGACTGTTTGTGGGACATTGCTGTGCGCAATTGGCTGCTGCGTTCGCCCGCGAATATACAGTCAATTCACTTTACAGTGTGTTCTGTGAAGCGCTTTGGGACGTCCTCCCGACGTGAAAAGCGCTATATCAAATGCAAGGATTATTATTATTATTATTAGTCAACTGGGAAAAGTATCTCAAAGAAATTGAATTCCAAAGTCCTGTTCATTTCTCAGAAATCAACATACCTCAATAATATAGAATATCAGTTTTGTTCAGCTGAAGCCTGTTTCATTCAACAAATGGGTTACAATCAATGAACTCTTACCTGTCATTCACCTTGCTTTCCTCATGAATTGAAAGAAAATTATGGGTCTTGATACAATCTTATCACCAACTACAAACATAAATTATTTATGAGAAATAAAAGTTACCTGCAGTCTATGTCTTTCCTGTATATCCACAGGTTTTCCTGCGCCCATACTATCTGTGAACCAGGAGATATCCAACATCTCAAGTGTGTTCGTGTTTGACAGCTTGTGGATTTGGAGCCAGTCCCAAATTTCATTCCAAGAGTTGTTTTCTGCCACAATATGTGTGACTGCATCACTATAGTTTAGAGAAAACAGAGACACTTTGCATCAGCGGTGCATTCAGTGAGCTACAAAATCAAGGACTGTTCAGATTATGGATGTACATTATGAAGGTTGCTATTCCTGGAATTAATGTTTCTGATGAGGCTACCAAGCACTAAGCTTACATCCCCTGGAGTTTTGTGTTTCAAATACTAGGGTCCTGATTCTATCAGAGTTGAGCAGAAGGAGAAATGTGCAAAGCTGCAAAACTCATTATGGCTATATTGCCTGTGCAATATCCCCTGACAACATAAACCATAATTGCATATGCAAAACACCAACAATCAAATCTTTAAAAATTATTGTAAACAGAAGCAGGCATATAGATTGAGTTAAATTAAAAACTTGGAAAATGAGCAAAGTGGGTGAAAAAATAGGTTACATTTCATTTATTTTGCATCAGGCTTAACGGTACAATACAGCAATGTAAAGTTGGTTTTTGAAAGACTATCAGACAGGAAGCAGAACAGGGTATTTTTGTTTACAATGTTCACTTGCCCAGCTGTTCGTTGCATATAATCTAAATTACCATTACTGGGGCACTTTACAGCAATGTTTAGAATTTCTAATTATCAGATCTGCTAGTCTTCATTAAACTAACACACCTCAGTCTATAAAAATTGTGAGTATATTCTACTTTATTCATATTTAATTGGCAAAACTGAGCTACATAGTGAAGTAATATGATGTTTTATCGTATAACAGACATAACAGGCTGGTGTTGTTGGTTTCCATTTCCTTTCAGGATACATTGGCCTCAGATGTACTCTTTCATTGCTATAAGTACTAAACGGTTCCCTGCATATTGGAATGATGCCATGCTGAATGTGGTGCAACGCATTTCATACTTGACAGAGACCAAGAAGGTTTCTTCAGGTCAATCATGTTTTTGTTTTGCTCTCTTAACATAAGCCTTGGTTTCACCGTGCTGAATCCTGAGGGCATCTGAGAATTTTCTAAACAATCTGGGTTGACTAAATCAAAGGTTTGTACCACTACAAAGTGTTCTATGTTTGCTGGAATTTGGGGAATGGTTATTATTTCATGAGTTACTGTTACAGTTACAGTATGTAACTATGCCCCCAAAAGCCTGGTTTGCGGTTGGTTACTCTGTTCAAATTACAGGAAAAAGTATGACAATTACTAAATAGAGTAATCCAGTCAGCCTGGGTACTTAACAATCATTTGGAGGATCCCTTTTGTACATCATGGAGCGTTTGATGTTGAGTCGTACTGCACACATTCAGCTCCTGTTAACTCTGCAAGCCAAAATCCTAATGGGTAAGGTGGCCTAGCTGGATAAGCACTGAAAGCTTGACAAACAGTGCTCAGAATTGCAAGCTAATCATGATACTCTTAAGCATGGTGATGGATTTCCTCTTAAGGTTAGCGCACAATATTGGACTGACTGATGATGCTTGTATGAGCACCATTACTAGCACTCAGGGATTGCAACATTACCAAATCTCTGCTATATGATCACATTTCCTCTGAAATGTATGAACCTTCTTGTCCTCTGAAACAGTGCATCAGTCATCTCCTGAAAGCACCAAGACAGATTCTCAAATAATACCAGGCAAAAGTAACCCCTAATGCTGGAACAACCCTAGGGCAACAAAACATATTAGCTGCTGTCAATTTGCACCCATTAGCAGAACAGTTACCATGTAATATAGCTTGGCTATTACTGAGCCTAAACCTCCAAAGGCTCATCGTGGGATATCGTACCTAAGATGTGAGCAGCATATATTTTTGTCTGCCAAAAACAATTAGTGTAGCATATTCCATTGTCACAGAAAAGTCTGCAAAATTCAGTCATATAACTGGTTATTGGTTCATGGGTTAACAGGTAGACAGCAAGGGTAATATATTACATTCAGCATTCAGCAGTTTCTCAAACAATTAATAACCTGGACATAAGTTTTATTGATCATGGTATAGTTCGATGATACTGGGATAAACAATAAGGTCAAAATTAACAAATGTGTAATTCTAATGTGTAAAGAGGATAAGAAAGCAATAGGATAAAACATTGTAATTATTCGCAAGACAAATTCAAAGAAATTGAATGTTATAGACCAGTAAGATTCTATAAGGAATACGTTCGATAGCAAATATATTAATGGAAGATGTGTTGAATAAATCTTTCACATAAGTGTTCACAAGTGAGGAATATGGACAAATTAAAAATCCAGCCAATTGGCTGATGAATGTATGATATAAATAATGGTCATTATTGGTTAATAAGTAATATGCCAGAAAAATTTCAAACGTGCACAGGATCTTTGTATCATATGGTTCCACTTAACAATGAGTGAGTGAGTCAATTCATGCATCTTCGGGATGTCCGTGAATTCAATACAACAACCACAACAACAACGTCCTTCACATGGGGTAGCGTCCCAGAGCGTTTCAATAGCTGTACTCATGTACCTGGACTGAAAAGCAAATGTAATCCTGTTATTCGTAAAAGGAAAACAACATTGTGTGATATGGGGCGATTTGTCTGAAATCGTTACTGAGGAAATTGGAAGCATTTTTGATTTGATGATGTTTGAAATTAATACCCATTATTTTATTTCCTGACTAGAAGTTTCAATCCAGGCCACACTGATGGGATGAAAGTCTTGTTCCTCTGAATGCTGTCAGAGTCCCAGGTACAATGCAATTCAGAGCCTCACTGCATTCTCCAGTAAGCAAGGTGCACATAACTACCTATGTGTGATATTAATTGATAATATATTGGCAGTTTTGCTTAGAGACAACAAAGGTTGCTAATAATTGTTGGATTAAGTCAGGAAAGATGGCATGACACAATCTGTAACCAAATCCCTATACAAATCATTTACTCTGGAGTTGAACATTTATTATAATAATCCTTGCATTTGATATTGTGCATCACAGAATTGAATAAAAATATTTGACTTGATTATGCCGATGCCAGATGGTAAGATTTACAGTAAGGAAAATAATTGTCTTCCTTGTGTATAATTTCAGTTAGAAATAATACTTCATGTGTGACATTACAGTTTAAAATGTTGTAGGTCTTCTTCCTGTGGTTTTATTTACAGAAAATAATTTGCAATTATTAAGTCCCCATCTTCCTGTCACATGTACTGCAGGTCTACCACTGGGGGTTGTGACATCTGGAAAGGCTCGAACATTTCTCTGTTACTTTTATGACTGTGGTTGTGTTTGGCACAAAAAAACTAACATTGTGGCAACATTTCTAAACTATTCAGAGGAAATGCAAAGAAACGAATAACTGCAAGTGCTTCTTTCAAGCTGCATGTATGTAAAATCATACTATTTTATTTAATGTTGATCTAAGAGATCTAATAGGCACTTAACAGGCACAACAACCACATGATTCATTCATCAGCCACTTTTTATGCAAGAATAGAGCATCGTGACAAACGGGATTTTCTGGAACTATTTAACTCTGCTAAGTTGTATTATATAATAATATTTAATCTGCAGAAGTAAATCCGAGTTCATTTTCATGGCAAATGATAATTCACCATTGGAGAGTGAATAGGGAATAATGCGTACCATAGGCGCAGTGATCTCATCAAATGGTTCATAAAACATCAAATCCTGCAAGAACAATACTCAAGTAATTTATAATCATCTAAACCCTGACTCTGGCATTTGTTATGGATTCTAGATGTACTTTAGAATAGAAGTCATCAACCTTATGTCTCAATAATGCATTTACGGATTGATTACTGATAAACATGCAGTGATGCCAGCATAATTACAAATTTTTCAGTATAAACATCATCAAATAATAATAATATAATAATGATCCTTGCATTTGATATAGTACCTTATCACGTCTTCAAGGCGTCTCAAAGCGCTTCACAGAATATACTGTAAAATGAATTGACTGTATATTTTGTGGGCAAAACGCAGCAGCCATTTGCGCAAGCAGTGTCCCACAAATAGTGATGGATTTAGTGACCAAATTATTTTTATTTATGTCAATGTTCTCACATTTAATTTTAAGGAAGGGGAAAAGGTTCTTTGGGGTCAGGTTAATGTGTGACAGGGTAGAATATATTCACAACCAGCTCTTGAGGTATTCAATTTAGTTTTCCATTAACCTACCAATTCCTACAGCAGACAGAAGTGGTTTAATTGTTCCCTTCATTCATCTCTCTGTCCAAAGAAGAAATTATTTCATCCATGGAAAGAGGGGTGTGGGGTGGCGGGGGGGGGGGGGGGGGGGTGCTGGAAGGAGGGGAATTATATGCATTTCCACTGTGTATTTAAATAGATTTGCAATGGCAAGATAATTTCTTGTTTAGAGTACCACCTTGGCGTAAATACTCAATCTGAGATATAGTAATAAACTAATAAATCAGCGGATACATACCTCAGCTTATCATTGACTCTGAATCCTTTCTTACGAGCTAAATCCATCAGAAAAGTTCTTCTGGTTGATCCCATTTTCCTTTCTACAATAAATATGTTCAGTCCTTGAAATTTGATTTTATATTCATCGTGTGAACAAGAGTCTGCTACTTTCTTTCTTTTCATTTTGGGTAAAATTCCTGTTCCCCCCAGTCTATCTGTTGAAGCCATATTCTAGATTACTTTACTGTAAATGTTATGGTATCTGTAATCTACACTATGCATTTAAACAATGTCACCTGCATTTGCATGGAACTCAGATCTACGCCTATCAGTGATGTCATCTCCCTCAATTTTCTTTGCAAACACTGTAAAACAGTGCATGAAAGGATCACAGAATTTCTGCATGAGCAAAAAAGCCCTTTGTTTCTTTTAACCCTTTAATAACTACAAAAAGTATTTTAAAACCCAACTGAAGTAAGTGATCAGTAAATCTATTTTATAATACTTATAGTTTTGCTGAGAAGCAGTTGTATAAGTTTTAAATAAAACAAAATTAGTCTTTTTGTCTTGCTTTCTAAAAATAATGATTTGAGCTGTTACCAGCAGCCTTCCAGTATCTCATTCAAATAATCATATTTCATGGTGAGTTTGGACAGTAAGAATTTTAGAGGCTATTTGGTGAGTGATTACTCTGAAATTACTCTGAAATCTAAATCTGTTCTCATCCAACATCGATATGCAAGCATTTTCCAGCAACTGTCCGTGAAAAAACTATATCGCTCATTGATTTTGCAAGGATTATTATTATTATTTTCCACCTTCCCAGCCTGGGGAGACTGAGATCAATTTTAGCGGTGGGCCACCGTTACGCTATCTGAAAATAGGTATTGTATCTCAATGCAATGAATGTGAATTCAACCTATGCCAAGTAGTTAGGATAGCTTAGTACAACATTGCTTACTGAACAATCTGTAGGCCACAATTTGATTTTGAAGCTGTAATTATATTTTACCATTCAACTAGTATAACACAGTCTAGTGTTATTAGCTGGAACAAGGCTGCTGAATATGGGTAGCCTTTGATTTATATCTTTGCACTCCCTCCTGCCATTCACAATCTCTTTCTTCAGTTGAAGATGCTGACTTCTATTAGTGGAGTCCTGTAGATTAGTAGTTAGAGCACTCGCCTCGCAAGCGGGTTCTATTCCCAGCAGGGCAAAATGTTGGGCAAGTTTCCTTACTCCACGCGTCTCTGTTTACCTAGCAGTATGTAGGAACCCGGTTGTTAGTCACTTGGCAGATTGCTTTTCTGGGGATAATAATCCCTCAACAAAATAATAATAATAATTTGGTCACGACTGTTTGTGGGACACTACTGTGCGCAATTGGCTTCGGCGATTCACCCACACAGTCAATTCACTTTACAGTATATTTTGAGACGTCTAGAAGATGTGAAAAGCTCTTTATCAAATGCAAGGATTATTATTATATTCTATTAGCAAGGACTGCTTTCCTGCACTTTGATCACAGGCTGCCCTTCCTATCTTAGCCCTAACAATGGGTGGAAGCAGAATATTCAATTGAGTAGGGTCATTGGTTAATTCTGCACTCACATGATAATAATAATAATCCTTGCATTTGGTATAGTGCTGTTCACATCTTCTAGATATATCAAGAAACACTTCACAGAATATTCTGTAAAGTGAATTGACTGTATATTTGTGGATGAAAAGTGGCAGCCAATTGCACACAGCAGTGTCCGACAAATTGTCGTGGATTGAAGTGACCAATTTATTATTGTTTTTTTTTGAGGGATTATAATCAAGCCTGTGGAGTAAGGAAACTTGCCCAAGATTTTGCCCTGCCGGGAATCGAACCTCGGTCTCTCGCTTGCAAGTTGAGTGCTCTAACCACTGAGCTACAGGACTCCATATAGATATCTTATACATAGACTTTCCACCTGAGGTAACCTGACAATAATTGGAAATGGCAACCTAACCAAACCATGTTGAATCTAGCTATGCAAGACCACCTTAAGGTTAAAATTATCTGCTGTAAAGTGTTAGTTAGCAGAATTCTCTTTATGAGTCATATATATATGTGAACAATATATGTTGCCAATTCATGCATAGAGCTTACCCTACCCGGCTCTCCATTCCTCATTACTGAAAGCTGAAAGCAATAACAAATTAGCCCAATTTACTATGTGCCATTTATTAATAATTTATTCTTCATACCCATCAAATACCATTGACAGATTTTTTCCAATGTCAGATACATTTAACTCCTGACAACAATATAATAATAATAATATCAACCTGTTATGTCTATTATGCTATAATAAGCCATCATATAATTTCACTACGTAACTCAGTCTGGCTAACTAAATATGAATAAAATAGAATATGCTCACAATTACTCTAAAGAGTCATTTTTCATGCCTTTTGTTAGGTTGCTTTGCCTCTGTCATTTTGAACTGAAATTTCTCGTCAGGAGTTAAATGTAGCTGGTATTGGAGAAATTCTGTCAATAGTATTTGATGGGTATGAAGATTAAATCATTAGTAGATAGCACATAGTAAACCGGATTAATTTGTTATTGCTTCCAGCTTTCAGTTATGAAGAATTGGGAACCTGNTTTTTTTTAATTCCTGCTCTGAATTACATTTTCTGCAGGGTGAGATATATACACGAGTTGGCCACATAAACAGAGAATCCTGCTAAGCAGCACTTAACAGTAGTTCTTTTTACTGTAAATGAGAAATTTTGAGAGGAGGTGGATTAGCACTTAATTCTGCAGCATTGCAAAGCACTGCCTGGTAAAACTTCTTCCTTAAGTAAGGTGTCTTGAATAGCCAACAAATACAACAACAACAACAAGATTACATTTGTATGGCGCCTTTCACGTCAAAAATACACTACCTTTGTTTAGGTAACCTCAATAACTCAATGCAAAAAATATTTACTCCAAACTGCCTGTGACAGGCAGCTCTTCAGGTTAAGTGCTACATCTACTATTTGCTTCTAACTTTGAAGATTTTTTTTTGTATCGTGCATAGTATTTAGCACATTGACAAAAATTGCAGCATGTGGTATCATCATGATGGCAATAGCCACCAGATTTCTCACGACTGTACTGTTGTCAGCTGTGTGAGCTCTAAGTGTGGACGTGTGTGGAGCACAAAACTTTATTTTTTGACTCAGAAGCAAAAATGCAAACAGCTGAGCCAGGCTTCCAAGTTCTTCTTCCAAGTTCCTTAAACTAACCAATAAAGTTTTTCAATGTAGTTTCATAATTCACGCTTTTATTATTATTATTATTATTATTATTATTTTTATAGATGATGATGCCCTGTAGTGATTCGATTTGAGGTCTAAACACCACGTTCCAGTATTTAATAATTAGTCTGACAAGACTGCCATCCTCTAACCATGTAAAATGCAAAACCACAGGAAACGATGAGGTCAAGCAGACAGACCTGAGCATTGATCGCTGGTTGATTTAGTGGAGGGTTGGATTGGTCATTTCAAGATTGTCACAAGCTGGGATAAATATTTAGTGTGCAAACTTGCTCACAATCTTAAATCTGCTTACATCAAACGTGCGACTGACTGATTGTGCAACCAGGAGAGCAGACGTGGAAAAGCAGTAGTGCACTTAGTGCACACGCAATGACAGGGCTTGTGCAAGCTCCAGAACTTCCGCCTTTACGAAGGGAAAGTGATGCTGTAATAGCACAGTGTTGTATTAGTCATCTGGATGGACGTGTAAAGAACGATCAAACGCTGAAGCAGGTGCACTGACAGCACTACCAGACTATTCACAATGACTACAAAGTCCCCAACTCGAGAAGAGTGTGAGGATTGGACAGTGGATGAACTGAAAAAGTACCTGTGGCAGGTAGGACAAGGGGTTGTTAAAAAAAACAAGTGAATGGTCAGTTTCATGGAAACCATCTGTAAACATCCGTTTAAATATCTTTTTTTTTGCAAACTGGAGCAATACAAGGGACATTGCTATACTAAGCTTAAAGATCTCTTGACAGGAATAACTCCAATGCCTTTAAACAACGTGAATGTTGTTTAAAGAACAGATCTCTTGGGAGTTTCTTTTTTTGTTGTTGGAAAATGTCCCAGAAACTATTCCAGGAAGTAGCCAAACGAGTTGCAGTTTGTCCTGTGAAGTCATTAAGGTGTGGAGTGGAGACCTGACATTCCTTGCAGTTGTGTTGCAGTAATGAGAATCAACCTGTTGCTGTGTAAATGCAAACCCCAAATCACTAACTTTTTAAACCATGACTGTTTTTCCCTGCCTGAAGCAGTTCTGTTCATTATGTGAACCCTTCTGTTACTCTATCTAATGTTTCACTGAGTCCTTAAGTGTTTCTGACAATGAATATAAATTGCTGTGATTTGTATTTTATGTCGCCTTTGATCAGGAACTTTGGCTAAGGGCCGACTGATCGGTGGAAACTAAATGTTTCGTTGTTTATGCTTTTTTTACACAGAACAACATGCAGGACTCTGCAAATGTGGTAAACAAATACAAAATAAATGGCTATATGTTTTTGGTAAGTCAATTCATTCTGTATTTTTAATGCTTACTTGAGTTTCTTCCTTTTCTGCATCTTAAGTCACATACACTACTAGACCTGCTGTACTTTTAGAACAATATGAGTTAGGTTTTATTGACATGGATTTAAAGGGTAATAATTAACTTGGGTCAATATAAACACAGTCTATTGATTTAGATGATAGAGGATTCATTTTATGATTTGAGTTCAAAATGCCTCCAAAAAATGCAATCTTTAATTTGATAATAGCTGCAGGAATGTGAGGGAAAAATAATTTAAAACATTTTACCCATCATTGACATGTAGGTGCAAGTGTAAAAGAGTGGAACTTGGAGTATCATTTCTGTTTGAAGTGCTGCACTTCTCTCTTCTCCTTCAACCCCTCCCCTTCAAACAAAAGTGCTCTTGAACTTTCAAATATGCCAAGATTGAGGCAAAACAGGTTCAGGGTTTTGAAAGACAATTATATAACCAAAAAGAATTTCTTTACGATGTGATTTATTTGGAATAAGTAACCAGGAAGTGCAGTGCAGGCCAGGACGCTGGAATCAAAATTCACCAAAAATCACAAAGATGACTGCTCTGCGCAATTGACTGCCATGTTTCACCTACAAAATACACAGTCACTCAACTTTACAATATATTCTGTGAAGCGCTTTGAAACATCTCAACCATGTGATAGAATGAATACTCTGGTAGGAATGAGATAAAATGGTCTAAAAGGCCTTCATCTGAAACTCGTATGATCCTCTCATGATCATGGTCTGGAGCAGAGCATATTGGAGCATCGTTTTGTCCACCTTTCACTGATTTAGGAATGCAGATGGTATGAGCCAGCTATCAGAATCATCTTTCAGAGTCATCTTAAGTAACTGTTGATTTTATATTTCCTCCTTTTACTATTCCTATAGTTTATCCTGTCCATCCTCCTGCCTTGTTTGATGTTTCTGCAGCTAACAGGGTGGGTACACAGACTTCTGTTATTGCCTCCTATAGGAAGATGCTAGAAAGTGCTGGCAACTGCCTCAAAATCATTCTACTGTCTTTTTATTCCTTCAACTAAGACACGTCAGAAGCTTTACTCAGCGTCTTTCTGCTTGACTTACAGGAACCTGTGTCTGGTCCCCATTCTAAATATGTTTTGTCTGAAAAGATTTATTAACTGGCCTTCTGCAAACGGATATGTCATTCTGACTTCTCAAATGTTAATAGCCTACTTTTCTGTAAATGATGACTGAAAATGTTTTGCATAAATAGAAATAAAACTTGGGGATCTCCCTCGACAAAATATCTCAAAAGGTTTGCACATGCAGTTTTTGCACTTATTAATGCTGCTGTACAATGGAAAATGCAGCAGAAGATGTATTGTAAAGATTCAGAAAATGTTAAAGCCAACAAACATCTCTGCTATTTAAGAATAGTACTGTGGCTAAAAATTAAATTTGAAATATCAAAATTACACAGAAAATTGAAACAAGTTTTCTTGTTCTCAATGCCCCAGAGTTGAATACCTAAATATATTTTTCAAACTTTAGCACAATCATTTTGGAAGTGTTTCAATGCAGTGAAATGTTTAGAAGCTTACAAGTATCTGCGCTTTCATAACCATTCTTTACTTTTTATTTGAATACTGATTTAATTTTAGAAATACAGATGTGGGGAGGACATCTGTTGGTAAAGTAATGATTTCAGACAGTACATTGCCTACTCAGCATGATCTGTTTAGTGGGTATTGCTCCGTGTATTTTTAAACAGTTCGACATTTATTTGAATGCAATTACATTTATAATTATCAGTCTGCATAGCTATACTTTTCAAATCTGTCTTGGGCTAAATATTAGTTATTGAAAATTACACAGTTTAGATGGTCTAACTCTGAAATGGGTGGAGCTTATATGTGCACACATACAGATCTTATTACAGCAACCGAGAAACAAGGACATTATAATGCACACACACATGCAAACACTTAAATACATACATACACACATACACACATAGATGCATATACGCATACATACACATATACACACATAGATGCATACATACACATATACATACATAGATGCATACACGCATACATACACACATATAGTATATATGCTGTGTATCATATATGTTATATGAAAGTACAAATTGAAACATCTGCTGCTCATGACTCACAACTTACTTCACCAGAAGCCTTCCCACTAAACGTAGGTTCTGCTTTTAGGATGTTATCCTTCATGTTGTAAAGTGGAAGGCCTTAAACTGTATGGCACTATTTGAACAGAATGTGTATAAAATGGTGCTGGTCTAAATTTTTAAATCAAGAAATAGCACATCGAAATCCAATTTGGACCAATTAGGGTTTTATACTTTGCCGATTTATGTGTATTATGTATGCATTTTATCTGAAGTGTTATGATGGGAGGGTGTGTATTCTGGAAGGATGAGATCAGATGGGCCTAAAGGCCTTCTTTATCTGAACAAATGTTATGATTTTGTGAGGTGCTGTCATTTCGATGAGACTTTACACTGTGGTCTGGTCTACCTATTCAGGTGGACATTAAATATCTCATGGCACTAATTCACACATTCAATCCACATTCAAAAAGAAGGGGATTTCCTCCCAGTGTCCTAGCCGACAATCCCAGCTAAAATTGGTTGTTCACAGCATGGCTTGTTTCTGAGGTCTATGTCTGCATCCGTTTACAAATACACAGCAAAATCAGGTGAAAAGCTTAGACATCTCGAGGATGTGATAAGGTGTTCCATCAAATTTTATGTTATTTGATAAAATAATAAATAAATGCAAGGATTATTTATTATTTTATCAAATGCAAGAATTATTATTTGTAGTAGAGATGCTCACTGCAGGTGTGCATACCCTGGTGACAATAGTTTATAGTCTGTGAAATAGTAGAGCTAAAGGAAATGTGTTGTTTCCTTCAGTACAGACATGAAATAATATTTTACTCTGAGGGGAATACTTCTCAATATAATCCTCTTTATTGAATACATTTAAGGACACACCATGTCCAACTTCCTTCTCCTAGAATTAATGACCTGTGTGGTTTTAATTTATTGTTGTATCAGTTGGGCAAATTACTTTCTTAAGGTTCTATATTATTCTAAATATATATTCTATATATAGAATATGGTACAAGATTCTTATCCAGACTGGGTGTTTTTCACTGCATTTTTTAGGAGAGTTTAAAAAGTAAAGATGATGAAACTTAACTTATACCCATTACTACTCAGCAGAATTTTTTAATACCAAGACCTTTCTTTATCTGATTTAGAAATGTTAGACATGACTTCCTCTTCTGTAGGCAAATTGCAGCTTTATATAGGGTGACCAAAAAGTCGTGATAACTACCCTATTATCTGAAATATATATATATATATATGTATCATAATTTCTTTAAGACTTATCAAACATTGTAATGGTATCATGACTTTTTGGTCACCCTATATAAGTACAAAGACAGTAACTAATTTAAATCATTTCCAGTTATCTTAATATATAATGTTTCAGCAGATTATACACAAGAGTCAGGTGAGGGCATTCATTTGTTTAGCATTAATAATCCATACAGCAAATAATCGTAGTCATATTTCTTACACATTTCTTTGTAGCTTTTTTGTTTCTTACTTCCCCTTAAAGACATTTCCAATTTTGGCTACATATAATCCCTGTGAAGAAAAGTATTTTTAGTGACTCATATTAATACTTGCTGATCTGTTGACTGAAATACCAGAGATGCAACATGGTCAGTTGTGTCAATTTGTTTTTCTCAGAGTCGGGTAAAGCAATTCCCTTCCACAAGCTAGGGATTTAACAAGAATTGCTAAAATCTCCTGACCTTGTAATAACTTTGATTGTCAGGCAGGTTCAAACTATCTAAACCATTTCCCTTATTTAAATTTTTCATGGAAATCCACAGTACAGATTGCGGCTGAGCAGTGCAACTGAATGCGAAGCCATGCAGTCAACATTACTTTGAAAAGATGACTTCATAAGTTTTGTACTTCCCCAGTATAAACTGAGGTCCCAAATTGAGAAATGGCCCCTTAATAGTTCTTGAATTAAACTGGTATTCCTTGGGTTGGCATAGAAATACTGGAATCTCCATGGCTGCAGCACCAAATGCGCCATCAACAAACTGAATGACTTCAGTGACTGGACTTTGGATGAAATAATTTGAATGAGTTGAGGTTATGGTATTACGAACAGAGGAATTCCCCTTCTCCTTCCCATTGATGTTATGAAATGGGAGTCTTACAGGAACAAAATGTTGCAAGGATACAATGTATTGCACATCACAGTTTTCACCCTATCTACCACTAGAGGACACTATAACCAAAAGGAGCAGATTTAACACCTTTTTACTTTGCTCCCCAACTAAGAACAGCTGCATTAAACTGAAGCTGTGGTTTTTGTTCAGGGGTAAAACAAAGAGGCGGGGAAGCCTTGGTGGAGTGCACGGAAGAAACCTCCCCGGCCCCCCCACCACCACCACCACAAGGGGTTGGGTCTGTTGTATCCTGTAGCGGGAAAACAATGTGATTCCGTCACTGTGAAGTGCTCCAGGATGCTACCCTGTGCTATATAAATGCAAGTTGTTGTTGTTGTTGCGTTTTTTTTCTGTGACGGGTTTGATTTTTTTCTGAGCTCAGTGTAAACATATATTTTATTTAAATAAACACAAAAAAATCCCACAGGCATTTTGTTTTAGAGGTATTCTTTCAGAGGTATTCCTGTTAAATTATACAACTGTATACAACTGAACTCTCCCCATGAATACTATCAGGAGAATATTTTAACTGGAAAATGCAAGTATCCCAAAGTGATTCTTTCTCCATTAGAGTGGTCAGAAAGAAATTACGAAGTTGCTAATATCCACCTACTTCACCATTCATATTATGCATTATTGCCAGCATGTGTGTAGTGTGATGAAACCCCCAAAGGCATTACCCAAAATATATTTCCCTGTAAATGAAAAAAATGGTTCATAATTTTCTATTCAGGCACATGTTAAGAACTATCATCTCACCAAGAAGGAGGAAATGCTGAGGAACTAATGCTGGCATCTGCACCCAACATTGAAAATAAAAAGGTGAAGGTTTTCAGTTTAGCCCTTTATAATATCTCTCCTGGTAACTGCCTGTCATTGTGGGATCTCAGGTAAATTGCACCGTTTGAAATGACATATTTAATCAGATGAACTATCCACCCCTTTTCTCCAGTGCTCATGTAAAAAGTTGAAAGAAATCCTTGCAGATTCTCTAATCAATCTACTTACATGAAGGTCAATGTTTTTTTGGCTGTTTCTTTGATTTAAAAGACTGCTTGCAATGCAGCTGTTCATTGAAGTTTTCATCTGGATACAGATGACCATGTTATAAATACATGAAGAGGATATGTGCAGAGTGACTAGGTTGCCAGGAAATGGTTGAGGTCAGGACCCTCGACTTATTTTTTTTTAAAAAAGGGTTTATGCTGTGCTGGAAAGATGGTAGGGTGAATATTCAGGAAGAATCAGATGGGTTGAAGGGCCTTCTTTATCCAGAACAATCTTGTGATTATTTTCCAGTACCTTGTACTGCTCTATAAGAGAACAGTACTTGAACATAACTTTTGGCTGTGTTCTCATGTTGCTGTCAGTGGCAAGCTCTGAAGAGGGCACTGTTCTATCACCAACTTCACCTCTTACAAACCTCATCAAATGACAGAATTGCAACAAGATTTTCGATCAAAGAAATCGCAGTTGCCTTTCTTCATATAACTAAATAAATCAGAGAATCGGTAAGGATTTTTAAACAAATCTTTTTATCAGTGCTTGAGGAAAAAAAGGAGTTGTGAATGTTGTAAAAAAATTAATAATCGTATTTGATACAACTCCTTTTCAAAGAGCGCTTCATCATAATTATTTGGTTAATTTTGTACCCGTAAGCATCCAGTTTGCACCCAGCAATGTCCCACAAAAACAGCCAGAAGGTGAATAACCAATTTAACTGGAGGATTGTTTGATAGGACACTGGGAGAAACTTACTTTTCTTTTCAAGTAGTGATATGAGTTCTTTAACCTTTACCTGAATAGGTATGTGGGATTGGGTTTAACATCTCATCTGAAGAACAACACCTCCAACAAAGCAGTGCTGTTCCAGGACTATCAGCCTAGACCATGAGCATCCAAACCAGCCTAACGCTACAGTCTTAATGCAGTTGCAATGTCATGCTGAATGAGTTTTGTGTCATCATTCAACTAAATGTAATTCAATATTCTATACGGTAAACTCCTGATAACACCAAGGAAAAGTGACGAGTTATCCAGAGTAGCAACGTAGGCATGTGTACAAATACATAAATAAATGCGACCGAGATATTGACAGCATGATGACTTAAGTGGTAGTGACATATTAAGCCTGGGTCGAGTTATCAGGACTTTACTGTATACTGTTTAAACCATACTTTCTTTTAAGACCTTCAAGAAATTGTGAATTGATCTTACAACCTATATTTAAGGCAAATTTATGTGTATTTAAAACAAGTGCAGCCTGCAGTATTCCTTTGAATGTTTGATTTTTTTTCTCAACAATTTTGAACTTATAATGCATCAATCCTGTATTGCATATTCAGTAGGGAAAACTAGAAAGGAGTCCTTATGCTTTTGTAAAATTGGCCATTTTTAACAAGACAAGGGTCTTGATTTTTTTAACAAAGACCTTTCTTGTATATTCCCCAAATACATGAAAACTATAATTTGTGTTAGGGTTAGAATGTGCTTCATTTGTAACTGATTCATCTATTGGGTTTTCCAGGGGCGGGGGCAGAGTGGCTGAAGGTCTGCCCGCCATTGGACGGAGCGGGCAGGTTGGTAGGTGGTTAGGAGTTTGCAGAGGTAGTGGGGAGCAAGGCTTTATTCAGTAGGAAATATCAATCAGTTTAAAATGTGCCTGCAAGAAAGATCCTATAAATACTATGAAGCATTTTGGAACATATTTGTCGGTTTTAAATGGTAATGAATAATATTTTTATTTTCAGAATTCTTCAGATGGTCACCAGAATCGATTCAATTCATTAGAATATCCGTGAGTAGGTTTCTCCTTGCCTATGTATTGCGCCCTTTAACAATAATTTGCACTTATATAACTTATATGATGGTGTGCAAAGAGTTCATTCCAATCACAGCAATCAAACTCTGGGTTCTGAAGGTTAATCTCTGCCTTGCAGTGTGTTTAGCTGCTGTGAAGTCATCTCTATCTATGTGGAGTTACATAGCTCAGTGGTTAAAGCACTCGCCTCACAAGCGATAGACCTGAGTTCAATTCCCGGCTGGGCAAAATGTTGGGCAAGTTTCCGTACTCCACACGCCTCTGTTTACTTAGTAGTAAGTGGGAACCTGGTTGTTAGTCGGTTAGGAGATTGCTTTTCCAGGCATAATAATCCCTCAAAAAAAATTTGGTCACTCAAATTTTGTATGGGGCACTGCTGTGCGCAATTGGCTGCTGTTTTTCACCCACAAATATAAGTCAATTCACTTTACAGTATATTTTGTGAAACGCTTTGAGACGTCTAGAAGGCATGAAAAGCGCTATACCAAATGCAAAGATTATATATACCCTTAGACAGGAGGTTGCAGAGGGAGATGATGTGGGCTGTAGAGGTCTGGATGATATGGAGCTGGGTTGGCCAGCAGGCAGGGAATTGGAAACATCAAGTCTGGAGGTGACAAAGGTGTGCTGTGTTAGGTGTTTGTTAGTGGCGGAGCTGAGTGGTATTGTGGAGATGGAAGAAAGAGGAATATAGTTCACTGTTACTTCCACCCTCAAATATTGCATACACTTTCACAGTCATTTTTCTTGTTTAAACTTCTGCTTCAATTTGACTTCAGTATATCTGATTTTGTGATGCTGCTATCAAACTTGACTGAGAAGCTAAGCATTTGGGACGGTTCCTAATTTTGCAATCGTTCTACCATTGTATACAACAATTTATAAACTGTTTAATCACCGTCAGATGTGTTTGAGGGAACAGAATAACCTCAAAGACAAGTTGAAGGTGCTTTTTCAGGCAAGTTTCAACAGAAAAAATTATGAAGTACTATAAGGGGAGGATGAGACAACAATCCATAGGGTGAAATTCGTGGCGTTTCTTAACCCATTCTATGTGTTAATTAGTAATGCATGGGCATTAGAAACACAGCAAATTTTCCTTTACCATAATGTTCACCACTCAGCTCAAATATCTGCTTGCATTTCAAACTCTTTTAAAGTGTGGAGAAAATACAGGAAACTAACTTTATAAAGCCAGTTAAAGGAACAAATTAATTGTGTTATCACTTGTTCCTTGCATGAATTAACCTAAAACAATGAAAAATGTTCCCCTATATCTCAACACATCAATCTATACAATTGGAGAGTGCTACCATTGGTAGGGCTATGTATCATAGAATCTGATAGGCTGCTTAATGGCCCTTCATCAAGAAACATGGTGTCAGCACTCTTGCCTCTGAGTCAGAAGATTATAATAATAATAATAATAATAATAATAATAATCCTTGCATTTGATATAGCGCTTTTCACGTCGGGAGGACGTCCCAAAGCGCTTCACAGAACACACTGTAAAGTGAATTGACTGTATATTTGTGGGCGAACGCGGCAGACAATTGCGCACAGCAATGTCCCACAAACAGTCGTAGATTGAAAATGACCAATTTATTATTGTTTTGTTTTGGAGGGATTATTATTAGGCGTGTGGAGTAAGGAAACTTGCCCAAGGTTTCGCCCTGCCGGGAATTGAACTCAGGTCTCTCGCTTGCAAAGCGAGTGCTCTAACCACTGAGCTACAGGACTCCAAGATTGTGGTTTCAAGCCCATGTAAAGACATTGAACTCAATCTGTTCACACTCCAGTTCATTGCTGGGGGAGCACTGCATTGTTGGAGATATGTTCTTTGGATAAAATGTTCAACTGAGGTCCTGTCTGCCTGTTCAGGTGGACATTAAAGATCATATGGCTCTATTTGAAAAGTGAGTTTCTAACCACGGACTGGTCAATAATCATTCCCCGAAATAAAGTTGGTCATTCGCTGTTTATGAGACATTGCTGTGCACTAAGTGGTTAATTATTACACTGTCATCGTCACTTCCTGTGTATTGCACATGCATGTTACATGCAACTGTCAGTGTTGACACTTCCACTGCAAAGGCAATGTAATGGACTAAATTGCTTTTAAAAGAGTTTGTAGAACAAACCCACCCACAAATTGAAGCTTTCTATGTACAAAAGATTACTTTTATTCAAGGTACACTTATCTTTCCTTTATAAAGATCCTCAATGACGGATCTCCCCTTGCTGGTGAGATTCTTGACACAGATATGAAAACGTTGGAATAGGGGCTTGCCTTGAAAAAATTGCCAGTTGCATATGGGACAATCCTTAGAGAGTGCAGACATTGTACTACTTTGACATAATTCCTGGAAAATTAATTATAAACGAGTACAATTAGGTTAAGACAATCCAGCAGCCAGATATTACAATTTTACCTTTCTTTGCATAAAATAAATGGTGCTGACTGAGCTGCAGACGAAAGCTAACGGGAGAAATTATTTGGAATTCAGTGGGGGTGTTCTGCCCACGAGCAATAGTTATCACGCCAAAACAATTAACACATTAAAGTTTTATCAATCCCATAAATTGGCATAGCAGTTCCTGCAGCATTTAGCAAATATCCGTACCAGGTACAGACTCACAAATAATGTTCTGAGCCTTCGTGAAACATTCCTTTCAATAACACGCCCACAGCTATCAGACGGAATGAGTTGCATTACCTGTAATCAGTGAATGAGACAATCAGGAAGTGTTTACCACAGCCTAATCGTGGAATCAATGAGTTGAATATATCCTTCCTTTTGCTCTTCTCAAGTAAGCCTTCAGAAAGTTTTATATTTCTACTTCTCCTCTGAATCGCTACTGAAGACTGTCTGGACCACAACAAATTTAAAATACCTTTCCAACTTCTCTTTTCCACTGTTTTTTCACATTCGGTTTGTCCTTCAACCTACACTGAATATCAAAGGCTATAAAGCTGCCAGCAGAAAACATAGGCTGTTTTCACTGAAAGGAGTTAACAGCTGAGTATAAAATAGATCAAGAAGATGAAAAGTGTAAGGTAGGCATCATTCTGTATCTCTTTATTTTTATCCAATCAGTAGTTTGAAAAATATAAAAATCTGTTAACACCCAAAGTCTTGTACAGAAGGGTGTCATGTGACCCATTATTATCTTAAGTACTGTTTATTGTTATTACTACTTTATAATTTTTAATTGGGAGTCAATATTGGAGATGAATGCTAATCTAAATTGAGCTAACTGAGAAAATGTATTGGATACCTGAATTTGGAAAACCAAATCATTTAGACAAAGGGATAGAGCAGCATATAGGAACAAACATATAGGAACTATCATTATAAATATATCTGACAGAACAACAGCCATAATGTTTGCTCCCAATTCACCTGAAGACTGTAAATGGAAACAAAGGCAAATTGTGTTTTTGTTTTAGCTTGCAAGCGTTATTTTCATTATATTGCTTACTTTGCGTCTGTTTTTCAAAATTAGAAAAATAGCAGCCCCTGCAAAGAGACTTCAGTCAAAAGAAGCAAAACAGGACCCACCCGTTTGAAAAGCTAATTGCATGCATGCCCCCTATCCTGTATTGTACCTGTTCTATAATTGCTGTACATAATCATTATCAGTTTGAAGCGGATATGTTCACTGTTCAGTTGGAAACAGTAACTGATAGAAAGGGAAAAACTAAAAACTTTCTGCTCTCCTTTGTCCTGCTATTAGCTATCAGCTGACCTAGCTTTTACCTTTTAACAATTTTTCAAATAATCCATTGGGTATGAGCACCAAAATCTGAAATCCCAAAAATTTAAATATTCAGTAAAATCATTGTTCATCCATTTGAGACCAAGTAGGATCTCTACCCTTCCCTTTCTTTGTTCTATGCATTTAGGTCGTTTATAATTCAGTCACATTTACCTTTATTTGTCTTAAGTAGTGGTTCCAAATATCCCAACTTCTGTACTGAGAGGAACACTGCTTTGCCTTTGTTATGTAATATGAAGTGCAAGTATTTGATTCATTACTTTTAGTGAAATTCTATATCACTAAATATGTATGCTATTTATAACAGGAAATTCACAACTGTCAACTTCAATGTTCTGTATTTTTCTCTGGCTTGGAGGAAGCAAACACCAGAACAATACTTTGGATGCCAGAACAGCAGAACAATAGATACGGGTTTTGAGCTGCAAGGGGCAATTTCAGGATGGACACCAGAAATAATTTGTTTCCTATAGCGTAAATAATGACTGAAGCAGGTTACCAGGAAGGATGACAGAGGCCAGGACACTTGATTTATTTGAAAAACAGGTTAAATAATAAATAACAATCCTTGCATTTGATTTAGCATCTCTCATCTTGGGAGGATGTTTCAAAGCACTTCACAGGAATTACTGTAAAGACAAAAGCAGCAGTTAATTTGTGCACAGCAATGCCACGTAAACAGCCATGAACAATTATTTTATTTAGGGGATTGTTGAGCCAGGACACTGGGAGGAATTCCTTTTTCTTTTTGAATATTGTCCTGAGATCTTCAACATCCACGTGAACAAGCAGTCAGGCCCTCTGTTTAACATCACATCTGAAGGACATCTCCATGTCCAATAATACAGAACAATTGGAGTGCTAGCCTCGACTCGCAAGTTCAAAGTTATGGCGTGGGACTTGAACCCACTGCCTTTTGACTCTGAGGTGAAAGTGCTACCAATTAAGTCAGGCTGACACCCAGCTTGGTTTGATACTGTGATGGGAGTGTGATACAGTGGGTATTTTTCAAAGGATAGGATCAAATTAGCTTAAAGATAATCCAGAATTCTGCAGCCTGTGTCCTCTCCCGCACCAATCTCCATGACCCCATCTCCCCCATTCTCGCCTGACTCCACTGGCTCACTATCCTTCAGAGGATCCAGTTCAAGACTCTGGTCCTCACCTACAAAGCCCTCCATGGCCTCGCCCCACTC